TAATAAATAGTGTAAATTAATACTTTTTCTTTGTGTCAGGAGCGACTTGAGAAACTGCAATTCGCTTCTGGTGTGAGAGAATGGGCTGTCTGCAAGGACATTGCCCAGGGGATGTTGCCTGGGTGTTTTGATGTTGTACCATCCTTGTGGGAGGCTTCTCACATGTCCCCGTGTGGGGAGCTGGAGCTGACAGAGGGAGCTCAACCCACTCTCCCTGGATTCGAACCTCCGACCTGTCGGGCTTCGGTCCTGCCAGGACAAGGGTTTAACCCATTGTGCCACTGGGGGCTCCAATTAATAAATATAATAATAATACTAATAACAGTACTATAATAATAATAATAGTATAATAATAATAATAATAATTAATGCACCGCTGCTTTCACCAAACTTACCGTCTTTTTCATTTTCTCAATGAAGCTGCTGTCGTTCGTCGTCTGCCCTCTAAAAGAGAGACAAAAAAGAGAAGCGTTGGGCTCTGAACCAGAAGATGGATGGCCATCTGTTAGGAGGGTTTGGGTTGTGTCTTCAAAGATGAGATATTGGGGGGGGGGTGTGTGAATGTGTTGATAACAGTCCAACTGAAAGGGATAATCCTGCTCTGGAAGAAGACTATGTAGGAAGACTGGATTGGCTTGGCTGCTGCATCCCTAACACGTCCCATCATCCCCCAACATTGAACGCACTGGAGATAAAGGCAGCTGCAAGGCCATTAAATGCTAATCAAGCCGGCCAATGGCAACATTCACACTTGCCTCCAACAGACAAGCGGTCTTTCTCCCACCCTGGACATCATTCCACATAGGGTGCCTCCAAGCCACAAAGGTTTGGTGATCTAACCAAACTTGGCACACAGTTCTCCCATGACTAACAGAAAATACTGGAAGGGTTTGGTGGGCAGTGTCCTTTGGTTTTGGAGTTGTAGTTCACCTACATCCAGAGATCATTGTGGACTCAAACAATGATGGATCTGGACCAAACTCTACACGAATACTCAATATGCCCAAATGTGAACACTGGTGGAGTTTGGGGAAAATAGAATCTTGACATTTGGGAGTTGTAGTTGCTGGGATTTATAGTTCACCTACAATCAGAGAGCATTCTGAATCCCACCAACGACAGAATTGGGCCAAACCTCCCACACAGAACCCCCATGTGGCAGGGGATGGCTAGTCTATATAAATAAAAATGTAATGCTTGTTTGTTTGTGGGGTTAACATAACCCAAAAACCACTGGACGAATTGACACCAAATTTGGACACAAGACACTTAACATGCCAACAAGTGACCATAACTCATAAAAACACTGAAAAACACAGCGGAAGGGACTTACAAAGCCAAAAAATAAAAAATTACATTACAACGCATGCACAAAATCACATATATACAGGCAAACACACATATATACAAATGTATATATTTATTTATTATTTATTTATTTTATTTACAGTATTCATATACCACCTTTGTCACCCCTACATATACACCCAATCTGTGTGTATATGTATTTTGTGTATTTATATATGTGATATATACCCCTGAGTATATATATATATATATACACATATATAAATACACAAAATACATATACACAGAGTGGCATCCTTGAAGTGACTGGACTGACCTTGAGGGAGCTGGGGGTGGTAACGGCCGACAGGGAGCTCTGGCGTGGGCTGGTCCATGAGGCCACGAAGAGTCGGAGACGACTGAACGAATGAACAACATAAATACACAAAATACTTATACACAGATTGGGCCACAGCAACGTGTAGCAGGGTTCGTCTAGTAGTATAAAATAATAATAATAATGTAATAATATAATAATTTGTTATAATAATAATAAATTAATAATAATAATATTAATAATAATATAATAATAATTTGTTATAATAATAATAATTATTTTATTTACAGTATTCATATACCACCTTTGTCACCCCTACATATACACCCAATCTGTGTATATGTATTTTGTGTATTTATATATGTGTATATATACTCAGGGGTATATATACACATATATAAATACACAAAATACATATACACAGATTGGGTCACAGCAACGTGTGGCAGGGTTCGTCTAGTAGTATAAAATAATAATAATAATAATAATAATAATGTAATAATATAATAATTTGTTATAATAATAATAAATTAATAATAATAATAATAATAATATAATTTGTTATAATAATAATTTATTTGTAGACCACCCAATTTCCCCAAAGGGATTCAGCGCGGTATCCGACACATATGGCAAACATCCCATGCCAAGAGGGAAAAACATACCAATCCATTTCCCGCAGCTGGAAAAGAGTTTGGAGTTTGGAAAAGAGAAGGAGAGGGAGAAGAACAGGCAAATGGGAACAAGCTGTCCCGAGTCTTGAGAGATTGCGAAACCTCGAAACCCCTCGGCAGCTTTGCTGGACTTCCCAGAAGCAGAGGAAAAAACAACAACAGCCTTGGCATCCTACGAGGACGACAACAACGTCTTCCAAAGCTCTCCAAAGCCAAAGCCAAGGCAACGACAACAATGACGACTTACCTCCCAGTGGGCCCCTCTTCTTGGGGGGAGGAATAGGGGCACCCCATATTTTGCAGAGGGATCTTTTTTTGGGGGGGGACGGGGACGATCAAACCCCGTTTCTCATGGTGACCCCGTCCTTTTGCCTTGGGTCCCCCAGCCCCAATCCCCAGAGCGCTCTCCTCCTCCTCCCAAGGACTTCCACATCTGGCGGAGGCAGGAAGGAAGGAATGAAGGAGAAGAAGAAAGGGAGAGAAAGAAAGGAAGGGAGGGAGGGGACAGAGGGAAAGCCACAGGAACACGACAGCGGCGAATGCATTCTCTCCCCCTTCTGACACTCAGATGTGGGGACGGAGAGAGCGCCAGGTTTCCAACGCAACTGGAGTGACATCAGAGCCCTTTTCGGAAAGGATAGAAAGGAAAAGGGGTCGCGGGTGGGGGGTCGTTTCCCCCCACACCCACCCATTCTTGCCACTGTCGCAGTCAAGGCAAGCAGGGAGGAAAAACAAAGTTTTCCAGTGTAGCCATGAAGCAGCCATGCAGTTGCAAAGTCAATCGGTGAGGGTATCTGCAAAGAGGTAGCCAGGCTTTTGTTGCCTGGAGGCACCCTCTATGGAATAATGTTCAAGGTGGGAGAAAGAACTCTTGCCTGATTGAACCAAGTGTGAATGTTGCCTTTGGCCAGCTTGATTAGCATTGAATAGCTTTGCAGTTGCAAAGTCCACCAGGGAGGGTATCTGCAAAGAGGTAGCCTGTCCTCTGTTGCCAGGAGGCACCCTCTGTAGAATGACATCCAGTGTATTGTTTGTTGGAGGCAAGGGTGAATGCTGCCATTGGCCACCATGGTTAGCACTGAATAGCCATGCAGCTGCAAAGTCAAGCAGTGAGGGTATCTGCAAAGAGGTAGCCTGTCTCCTGTTGCCTGGAGGCACCCTCTCTGGAACAACATCCCAGTGTATTGTTTGTTGGAGGCAAGGGTGAATGTTGCTATTGGCCACCACACAAATACAAAGTCAAGTAGTGAGGGTATGTGCAGAGAGGTAATCTGGCCTTTGGTGCCTGGAGGCACCCTCTGTGGAATGATGTCCAGGGTGAAGGATGAACTCTTCTCTGTTGGAAGCAAGTGTTAATGTTGCCATTGGCCAGCTTGATTAGCATTGAATAGCCATGCAGCTGCAAAGTCAAGCAGTGAGGGTATCTGCAAAGAGGTAGCCTGTCCTCTGTTGCCTGGAGGCACCCTCTGTGGAATGATGTCCAGTGTGTTGTTTGTTGGAGGCAAGGGTGAATGTTGCCATTGGCCAGCTTAATTAGCATTGAATAGCCTTGCAGCTGCAAAGTCAAGCAGTGAGGGTAACTGCAAAGAGGTAGCCTGTCCTCTGTTGCCTGGAGGCACCCTCTGTGGAATGATGTCCAGTGTATTGTTTGTTGGAGGCAAGGGTGAATGTTGCTATTGGCCACCTCACAGATGCAAAGTCAAGTAGTGAAGGTATCTGCAAAGAGGTAGCCTGGACTTTGTTGCCTGGAGGCACCCTCTGTGGAATAATATCCAAGGTGGGAGAAGGAATTCTTGCCTGTTGGAAGCAATTATGAATGTTGCTATTGGCCAGCTTGATTAGCACTGAATAGCCATGCAGATGCAAAGTCAAGCAGTGAGGGTATCTGCAGAGGGGTAACCCGTCCTTTGTTGCCTGGAGGCACCCTCTGTGGAATAATGTCCAGGGTCAGACATTATTCCATAGCCTGGCCTTTGTTGCCAGCTTCAAAGTAGCAAGGCTTTGAAGCTGCAAGGCTATTAAATGCTACTCAAACTGTCCAATTTCAACATCCACACTTGCTTCAAACAGACAAGAGTTCTTTCTCTCACCCTAGACATTATTCCACAGGGGGTGCCTCCAGGTAACAAAGGCCAGGCTATTTCTATGCAGAGACCCTCAGTGATTGACTTTGCAGCTACAAAGCCATTCAATGCAAACTGGAAATGGCAACATTCACACTTGCCTCCAAAAGACAAGAGTTTGTTCACCCTCCTACCCTGGACATTATTCCACAGAGAGTGCCTCCAGGCAACAAAGGCCAGGCTATTTCTATGCGGAGACCCTCACTGATTGACTTTGCAGCTGTAAGGCCATTCAATGCTAATCTAGCTGGCCAATGGCAACATTCACACTCCAAAATGGTGCCAAAGGACTCCTCTCTGGGAATCAACCACCCAATTTAACTCCAAGCTAAGTCAGAGATGGAAGGAAGGAAACCCAAAAGCTGTCATTTTCCCTTTGGGACCGAAATAGACGCAACATTTTAAGCACCAAAACCCAATCCTTGCGCACTTTTTCTGTCTGTCTTTATAAAGTTGCGGCCAAACCACAAAAAAAAGACCAATGCAAATCGAGACCCAGAAAACAGGATATTTTCCAACACACGAGAAAGCCATTATTATTATTATTATTATTATTATTATTATTATTATTATTATTACTACTACTACTACTATTACTATTATTATTATTGTTGTTGTTATTAGCTTGGGTAATCCTAGATCCGGGTTATCCTAGATCATGCAAATTCCACACCAATAGAGAGAGAGTCAGAAACACTGGGATGCCTGTGGTGGAGGAAACACCAAGTTTCCTCCACCACAGGCATCCCAGTGTTCCTGACTCTCTCCATTGGTGTGGAATTTGCATGACCTCCACCCACTGCCTCTCCCTTCACCCTTTCCTACTCTTTTCTATGGCACACAGCAAACAGAGGAATTGATCAGCAACTCAACATACTAGAGAGGTTTGGGGAGAATTCACCAGGATTTATAGGATTTGTGGGTCCTGGGATGTATAGTTCACCTGCAATCTAAGAACTGCACTCTGAACTCCACCAACGATGGACCTGGAAGTAACTTGGCACAAAGAACCACCATGAGCAACAAAACATACTGGAGGTCTTTGGAGGGATTTATACTGTAGGAGTTGTAGTTCACCTACATCCAGAGTGCACTATGAATCCAAACAAGGATGGATCTGGACCAAACTTGGCATGCAGACTCAAAGTGCCCCAATTTGAATACAGGTGGGTTTTGAAGGGAATTGGCCTGGGTATTTTGGAGTTGTAGGTACTGGGATTTATAGTTCACCCACAATCCATGAAAACTGTGAAGTCCACCAAAGAGGGAATTGGACCCAACTTGGTACCCAGAGCCCCCATGATCAGCAAAGAATACTGGAGGTCTTTGGGGGAAAATTCACCTTGATTTGGGGGAGTTGTAGTTCACCTACATCCAGAGAGCACTGTGAGTCCAAACACCAATCGATCTGGACCAAACTTGGCACACAGACCTGATATATTGAAATTTGATTACTGGAGGGATTTGGGGGGAAATGACCTTCCTTTCTGGAAGTTGTAGTTCACCCACAATCAGAGAAATTGTGACTTCTACTGATGATAGATCCGGACCACACTTGGTACAAATACCAGATATGCTGAAATTGGATTACTGGAGAGGACTACGGGGAATTGACCTTTCTTTCTGGAATTTGTAGTTCACCCACAACCAGAGAAACAGTGACTTCCACCAATGATGGACCTGGACCAAACTTGGCACACAGAATCCCCATGACTGACTCAACCTACTGGAGGGATTTGAGGGGACTGACTCACCACAGTGGGAGTTGTAGTTTACCCTGCAGCCAGAGAATGCACTGAATCCCACTAATGATGCATCTGGAGCAAACTTGCCCAACATAACAAACTTTGAGTACTGATGGATGCTCAGGGGGTTAACCTGGCATGATGGGAGTTGTAGTTCACCCACAAGTAGAGAAACTGTGATCTCCACTGATGATGGACCTGCACCGAACTTGGCACACTGCCCATGACGAACTGAACCTACTGGAGGGGTTTGAGGGGACTGACCCACCATAGTGGGAGTTGTAGTTCACCCTACAGCCAGAGAGCACACTGGACCCCACCGAGGATGCATCTTGAGCAAACTTGCCCAACATAACAAACTTTGAGTACTGATGGAGTTTCTCGGGGATAACCTGGCGTGATGGGAGTTGTAGTTCACCAACAACCTTATGCATTTGGTACCATGTTCACCCACAACCTTATGCATTTAGTATCACTAAAAATTGACACCGATGATGCATCTAGAGCAACCTTGCCCAACATAACAAACTTTGAGTACTAATGGAGTTTCTTGGGGATGATAACCTGGCATGATGGGAGTTGTAGTTCACCCACAACCTTATGTATTTGGTACCATTAAAAAAATTGACACCGATGATGCATCTAGAGGAACCCTGCCCAACATCACAAACTTTGAGTACTGATGGAGTTTCTCAGGGATGATAACCTGGTGTGATGGGAGTTGTAGTTCACCCACAACCTTATGCATTTAGTATCACTAAAAAGTGACACCGATGATGCATCTTGAGGAACCTTGCCCAACATAACAAACTTTGAGTACTAATGGAGTTTCTCAGGGATGATAACCTGGCATGATGGGAGTTGTAGTTCATCCACAACCTTATGCATTTAGTATCACTAAAAATTGACACCGATGATGCATCTAGAGGAACCTTTCCCAACATCACAAACTTTTGAGTACTGGTGGAGTGTCAGGGGGTTGACCTAGCATGATGGGAGTTGTAGTTCACCCACAACCTTATGCAAAGGAGAGTGAAATTCCCCGAAGCCTAACGAAGGGGGAAACGCGGGGGAATGCGACTTACGGGGACGGCGTCTGGATCTTGGCGAAGTCGGGGACCTCCTCTTTCTTCTTGCGGAAGAAGAACCAGTAGGTCAAGAGGCCGATGATGATGGAGAAGAGGAAGACGTCGGTGAGGCTGAAGGGGACCGAGGCCTCGGGGGTCGTGGCCGAAGCGGAGTCCTCCTTGGACGAAGCCGACCCCATGGCGGAGGAGGAGGGAATGCTGCAAGCGACAACACGGAGGAGGAGGAGGAGGAGGAGGAGGAGGAAGCTGCAGGAGGGACAAGAACAACACAGGGCGCGTCAATACAGACAATTAATATTGATCCATACTAATATATAGGATGCAATATATATTCTAATATGCCCTCATGCCCCCTGTAATTAGCGCAACGTATCAGCATAATGCATGCATTATAATATATTTGTAGGGATCTAATAAATAATACACATCCTTTCTACACAGGAATAGGTTACACAAGGTGTAGGGGGGGGGGGGTCCGCAATTCTGTTGTATTTGAATACGCCGTCCACTGCTAATTTCAGTCCCACCAGCAAGACATGTCATACTCTATTATTAAGATTATTATTGGGGCAAGTTACTATTACTACTACTACTACTACTTGTATAACAAATGTATTAAACCATGATAAAATAATTATTTGTCGGGTCAGAACAACCAGTCTAACAGAACAAAGCAAACAAACAGAAAAATACACAACTTGTGAGTTGTGATAAAATAATAAAAATATTTTAAAAAATTACTACTACTACTACTACTACTACTACTACTGAATCGCCTGAGGGCCGAGAAGAGTGGTATATAAATACAGCAAATAAATAAATAAATACGATTACTACTACTACTATTAGGCTAAGTCACAGTATTATTATTATTCTATTATTAATATTATTGGGGCAAGTTACTATTACTACTACTACTACTACTACTACTTGTAGAACAAATGTATTAAACCATGATAAAATAATTAAAAATATTTAAAAAATTACTACTACTACTACTACTACTGAATCACCTGAGGGCTGAGAAGGGTGGTATAGAAATACAGCAAATAAATAAATACTATTACTACTACTATTATTATTTTTACTACTACTACTATTAGGCTAAGTCACAGTATTATTATTTTTACTCTTATTAGAAGAAATCACACATTATTATTACTATTAATTTTTACTGCGACTACTACTTACTACTACTTCTACTACTATTAGGGCAAGTCACATTATTATTATTATTATTATTATTATTAGGACAAGTCACAGTATTATTATTATTGCTATTACTATTATTAGAACAAGTCACACATTATTATCGTTACTATTAATTTTACTACTACTACTATTAAGGCAAGTCACTTTATTACTATTATTAGGACATGTCACACCACTACTACTACTACTACTACTACTATTATTACTATTATTGTTAGTCACAGTGTTACTATTATTACTTTTATTATTATTGACTACTATTGTTAGAAGTCACGCATTATCATTACTATTAATTTTAATACTATTACTACTACTATTATTATTATTACTATTATTACTACTACTACTACTACTACTATTAGGCCAAGTCATAGTATTATTACCATTATTTGGAGAATTCATGCATTATTATTACTATTAATTTTACTACTACTACTATTAGGGCAAGTCAAATTATTATTATTATTATTATTATTATTATTATTATTAGGACAAGTCGTAGTATTATTATTATTACCATTATTTGGAGACGTCATGATTATTACTATTAATTTTACTAGTAGTAGTAGTATTAGGGCAAGTCAAATTATTATTAGGACAAGTTGCACAACTACTATTATTATTACTGTTCTTATTATTAGGGCATGTTATACTATTATTAATATTACCATTATTTTTACTACTACTATTAGGGCAAGTCAGACTCTATTATTATGATTATCCTCCACTTTCCTCTCCCAAAGCAACTAACTATGCTAAAAACAGTACAACTCACAACCTTCAACATATAAACCCCAAAACAGAATTCAACACAGGGCATGTATTATTATTACTATTAATTTTACTACTACTACTACTACTACTACTAAGGCAAGTCAAATTAATATTATTATTATTATTATTATTAGGACAAGTCGTAGTATTATTATTATTACCATTATTTGGAGAAGTCATGCATTATTATTACTATAATTTTACTACTACTACTATTAGGGCAAGTCAAATTATTATTATTATTATTATTATTATTAGGACAAGTCATAGTATTATTATTATTACCATTATTTGGAGAAGTCATGCATTATTATTACTATAATTTTACTACTACTACTATTAGGGCAAGTCAAATTATTATTATTATTATTATTATTATTATTATTAGGACAAGTCGTAGTATTATTATTATTACCATTATTTGGAGAAGTCATGCATTATTATTATTATTAATTTTACTACTACTACTACTACTACTACTACTATTAGGGCAAGTCAAATTATTATTATTATTATTATTAGGACAAGTCGTAGTATTATTATTATTACCATTATTTGGAGAAGTCATGATTATTACTATTAATTTTACTAGTAGTAGTAGTATTAGGGCAAGTCAAATTATTATTAGGACAAGTTGCACAACTACTATTATTATTACTGTTCTTATTATTAGGGCATGTTATACTATTATTAATATTACCATTATTTTTACTACTACTATTAGGGCAAGTCAGACTCTATTATTATGATTATCCTCCACTTTCCTGGTTAACTATGCTAAAAACAGTAAAACTCACAACCTTATACATATACATACACATATACATATACGTTGTGTGTGTCATTATATCCCGTGATCCTAAGACTCATCCCTTGTCTAGAGATGTTTACACAGGAGGAAAGCATCAACACCACCATCCACCACTTACAAAACAATACAATTCCACACATACACAGGGTTAAATATTTCCCAAAGTCTCAATTCACTTTCGAGACTAGAGAAACGCCCTAAGAGTAGGAATTAGAGGGATTTATTGGGGTCAGGGAGGCAAATATGAGTGGCGTTTCCCCATTGCCATTCCTTTGCGGCATGAGCAGCCCTGCTTGCAATGCAAGGTTATTTCAGGAGCGGCTTGGCGTCAGTGGGACAATTAAGGGACATGAGCTCTGCAGAAGAGCCGCCTTCTCCAATGGAGACACCGCACAACCCTCTCCATAAACCGGTATTTTGAGGGCTGAGGAGGAGGAGGAGGAGCAGCATTACAAATGCATGACAAATCCTTCCACGGAGGAGTTGGTTGCCCAAACGGTTGAGAAATCCCACCCAGGACTGGGTGAAAAGCCATGCGGTGATGCAACCTGTGGCACGTCATATATTAACTAACCCTCCCTCGGAATGGCAGGGATTGATTCCACCAGGAAGGTAAAGGAAAGAATCAGAGTGGGAAGGGACCCCAAAGGCCATCTAGTCCAGCCCCTTGGATGTATGTATATATGGTGGTTTGTACATTTGCATACACCTGTCTCTGTATCACAGAATTCTAGAGTTGGAAGGGAACTCTAAAGGTTATCCAGTCTGCCGTAAAGGATACCATCAAAGCCCTCCCAACAGATGGCCATCTAGGCTCTGAGATAGTCATAGAATCATAGAGTGAGAATAATAATATATTTTATTTGTATCCTGCCACCATCTCCCTGAAGGGACTTGGGGCGATTTACAAAGCATTCCGAAGTGCCACACATAAGATAAGCAATACATAGAACTAGAAGAATAACTACTACTACTACTACTTCTTCTACTTTATTTACCCCCCCCCCATCTCCCGGAGGGACTCAGGGCGGCTTACAAAGCACTCTGAAGTGCCGCACATAAGAGAAATAATACATAGAACTAGAAGAAAAAGAACAACTACTACTACTACTAATACTACTACTACTACTTTATTTATATCCTGCCACCATCTCCCGGAGTGACCCAGGGTGGCTTACAAAGCACTCCGAAGTGCAACACATACGATAAATAATACACAGAACTATAAGAACAACAACTACTAGAAGTACTACTACTACTACTACTACTTTACTTATACCCCGCCATCATCTCCCGGAGGGACTCAGGGTGGCTTACAAAGCACTCCGAAGTGCCACACATAAGATAAACAATACATTGAACTAGAAGAAAAAGAACAACTACAACTACTAATACTACTACTACTACTTTATTTATACCCCGCCACCATCTCCCAGAGGGACTCAGGGCGGCTTACAAAGCACTCCGAAGTGCTGCACGTAAGATAAATGATACATAGAACTAGAAGAAAAAAAGAACTGTACTACTACTACTACTACTACTACTTTATTATATCCTGCCACCATCTCCCGGAGTGACTCAGGGTGGCTTACAAAGCACTCCAAAGTGCCGCACGTAAAATAAAACAATACATAGAACTAGAAGAAGAAGAATAACAACAAAAACTACTACTACTACTTCTATTTTATTTATACCCCACCACCATCTCCTGGAGGGACTCGGGGCAGCTTACAAAGCACTCCGAAGTACCACACGTAAGATAAATAATACATAGAACTAGAAGAACTACTACTATTACTACTACTACTTTATTTATATCCCACCACCATCTCCCGGAGTTACTCGGGGCGGCTCACAAAGCACTCAAAAGGTGCAAACACGCAACATGGAGGGAAACGGAATGAGGATGCTCATCTCTGACCTTCAAAACAATGCCAGTTGATGAGCTACTGACGACTGGCACTGCTCGTTTGCTTCCTCTGGCTTCCCACTACACAGCAGTGAGACAAATTTCTCCCAAAAACATTCCACGCGAGAGCTATGTGCCTTGTAACCTTACTTTCCGAATATCCCTCATACAGCCCAAATTTGATACTTGAGAGGGAAACGGAATGAGAATGCTCATCTCTAACCTCCACCACAACGCCAGTCGATGAGCTACTGATGATTGGCACTGCGCTTCCTCTGGCTTCCCACTACACAGCAGTGAGACCAACTTCCCCCCAGAAAGTTCCCAGTGAGAGCTACAGGCCTTGTAACCTTACTTTCCAAATATCCCTCGTGCAGTGCAAACGTCGTACTTGGAGGGAAACGGAATGAGGACACTCATCTCTAACCTCAACCGCAACGCCAGTGGATGAGCTACTGACGACTGGCACTGCTCGTTTGCTTGTGCTGGGTTCCCGCTACACGGCAGTTGTACCAACTTCGCCTGCGAAAATTTCCCACG